TTCCCTACAAGTTGTAAGACTTCACATTTGCCACTGGGGCGTATTTACCCAGAAGTTGAAAACTAGGGTTAGCAACTGAGAAACTGTAGAAAAAAGTCAATAGTTGCTTCTAGATCTAACGAACCAGGATCACATAATGAAATTTGAAGATGAACAATACAGGATCCAGAGAGAATTTGGGGAAACTAATATTAGAGAGGGATGATCCCTGAGTTGAACAAAGAATATTCTCATGACATACAAGCAAATGTGTCATGGTAATCTCTCAGTAGATTCATATGATGTTTCACATTTATTTTTCTTTCTTAGCAATAAAAGGTAAGGATTTTTGTTCAAAATATTATGGCATAAATCAAGTAGACAAAAGAGCATTTTCTTCAGCAGGCTCCAAACCAAAAAAGGAGCCACTGTAACAGTTTAATAGAAAGCAGACATTGGATAACCAGCATAAAGGAATGTAAAATTGTAAATTAACAGATTCATATAGAACATGTATTGACAGATACCTGAGGTGTACCGACACTGGTTGCTGCCATGGCTTCAGCACAGGTGGTACTAGCTGCAAGCTGATGCAAGACTCGCAAACAACTCAGGCGCACACGTTCTTGAGGAGTTTGTGCGTTCTCTGCTGATTCATTATCTGGGTCATATGTTTGTTCTGCTTGTCTCCCATTGTTTACCTCACCCGATGACATTGTTTCTCGCCTTCCCTCAAATGCAACAGCAGCAACTAGTTTGGGCACATATCCAAGATAACCAACATGATCTGCTAACGCAGGGTGCACACGCAGTAAGGAAACCAGTGCAGCCGACAGGAGCAAAGGAAGCTCTGGGTCAACAACCTGTGCTTCATAATGTGTGGCAGCAATGGATGACAAATACTGATCTAGTAGACCTTCCAAGAACCTTTTAGGGTTTCTCAGAGGGAATTTGGGATCTTTCAGAAACAGCCGAACATAGATGCCACCAACCTGCATCGCCACAAAAATTGGAGTCCAATTTTGAGAAAATATATTATTAATTTATTATATAAATCATTTTATCAAAAAAACGAATTTATATGACATATTTGGTGATACCTGTGGTTCATCTCTCATTTCCTGCTGTCCAGATGCTTGCTCAGGTACATCCCAATCAACAACACGCCCTTTCATCTGCTCACGGTATAGCTCTGATGCCATAGTGGAAATTTGTGCAGATAAGGAAGCCGCCATCGCTGGTGTCCATACGAGTTCTGGTGTCTCTGTAGTCTGCTCGAGGGCAACTACAACAGCTTCACCAGGTCCATCCCTAATTACTGACACAAGGCCATCAGGGAGAAACCTTGCAAGTGTTATAGCAACTCTTGGTCCATGCATTGGTTGGCTAACAAGCTTCCCCAACAATGAGGCTGCCATAGCCCTTTGCTGGAGTGGAATTTCTTCTGCATGGAATTATGATTATTATCAATATGTATAAATCTGCAAACAAATTCTAGAAATGAGAATAATAAACAAGACCAACTAAGATGTACAAATCTTCTACCCTTCAAAGGCAAGAGCAATTCAAGAATGTAGACAACACCACCATGCTTGGCAGCAGCCCAGGCCAGTTCAGGTGTGCTAGCCAATGCATAGAGAACATGGAGAGACCCTTCCCGACAACTTGGGGCTGAGTGAAGCATTTGTAATAAAAGCAGAAGACTAGATCCATCCGCAACCATGGCTTGCAAACAAGGAGCATGTGCTGTTAAGAGTGACAACACTCCTAGACAAAGTTGAGGGATATTACTGTGTGATGCTTCGGGCACAGAAAAGCATTCAAATAGAGGCAGTAACTTGTCTTTATTAGAAAATATGGATGCCAAATTAGGATTATTAGTCAGAAGGTTCTGCAGAAAATACACATTAGTCAAACAAGTTGAATAAAAAATGTATTTCACAACATAATAAGGCAGTTAGAAATTGACCTGAAGGGAGATCAGCGAAGAACGGAGATTTTTAATCAGCTCAAGCTCTTCCTTCCCTACAGATTGTTCTTCAGACATTGTGCCCGAATTATCCAGGACCTGCTGCTCATCGGCAGATCCATCAACAGCCTCACTCATATGCTCAGAAGTCTTAAAATTAGAGGTGTCTTCAACCTTATGATCAGCATCTTCAACCTTATGATCAGCATCTTCGACGCATTGATTGTGCACAAGATAAGATATAAAATCAATCAAAGCAAGGCAAAAAGTTTCTGGTTCACTAATTTCAAAGTCGGGCTGATCATTGTAGACTCTCAAGTAAACATTTCCAATGAATAATTCTCTGGATAGTGCTTTATATACAAATTCATGTGAATCCTTAATATCATATGAACCATCAGGACCTAGAGCTGCACGTTGTTGATCCACAAATTTCAGCAACTCTGCCCGTGTTGTAGAGTTCCAGATGATCTGCACAGTATCAAAAGATAGCATCAACATCCAAATACAATTAATAGACGGCTTAATTTTAACATAAAAACTTCATTTCTAATTTCCCGGGCTTTGACTGAAGGCCCGTGTTGAAGATCTATTCAGCTCTTCAGATTTTTTCCGAAGTTCTTTTCCCAAAATATCTAGGTTTTCTTTTTTAATTTTCAGCCGGACCAGTCAATCTTTATCATTAGCCAAACCAACAATTTCTTCATCTCAACATGCCAATTTATTAATAATAACATCATTAACTTATCAACAATTTATTTACATCCTAAACAATAATCTTTTTCGACTGATTCAAAAATTAATACATATTAAAACCTAGCTACTAATGACTATGCAATAGTTACTTGTCCAACAGATTTGTCACTTAAACTATGATCCAACAACCAGTGCAATCAGACATCAATTTAAACCTTTACAGAGCAAAACATTCGATTTCCTTTTTATTCCAATGGTAGTCCCACAAAGAAAATAAGTGTCCCTGTGGACCCTGTCAATAAAATTTTTTACACAGGGTTAAGAATAATTAGAGAGAAAAATACCTCTGGTGACTCAAGGTTAGCATTTAATTTGGACAGTAAATCTTTGGGCATTTGATCTTTTAACATGCCAGAGAGCTTGGGGGTTAGCAAAACTCTGAGGGCATCAGCAGCCGCCTGATTGTACGGCGTTGCACTCTCATCACCACACAAACCACTGAGCCTTGACAAAGCCTGTGATGCTCTTACAGCATGCATGTTTTTGGCAATTTGAACACTAGCACCAACACCATGTGATTCTGTTGCATCAGATTCTTCTGCAGTTGAGTCATACTGAAGCAGCAGTGGCAAAAGGTACCTATTATGGACCATATTAAATAGATAAGTCCAGAAATAGTTACAGCTTACAAGTATAACTAAATAGGTAAAAAGTCTTTATGCACCATAAATAATTACTGTCAACATATAAAAGTTAGAGCTCATTAGCTAACTAACAACTAAAAAAGTCATACTTCATTGCAAGGATTAACTGAGATGCTTAGAGTAGTAAATTTTGAATTATAATACTAGGCGAGAGTTTAAAGGTATTATTAGGTTGATTCCATTTCTTATGCCTACAACTAGATTGGATCAACTTCGACGTAATGCTCAGTACAGCCCAATGAGGTATGGAATCAAACCAAACAAAATTCAGGGTCCAAAAAGATTATTGCAGATGGGAATCGATCCCAATTGAAGGGAAGCTAGTGTTTGAAGAGGAAACTCTATGTTTCTGTTTTAGTTGATGATCAGTTTCTGTATTCAGGAGAAAGGCGATGCCCCCAATGCCTCAGCTGGTAACTTTGTTACTGGCGACAATTCAGGCCAATAACTATAGTTTAGGCTAACATTTACAGGATTGTCTCATCCTTTGCCTATCTCAGCTTTGAACTTTGATCCTCTCTATTCATTCTATTACAGATGGCCAACATGAGATATAAGATTTAGGTGATGGTGTCCTACTTTAGGAGATTGAAAGAGTGAATCAGGAATGTCTTTGGTGATGTCAGAATTAAAAAAAAAAAAAAAATCTTTGAGATTGATAGAAGGCCTTCAGTTGTACAGAAGTTGCAATATGGTAAGGAGGCCATCACATAATCAAAGATCTTTCATAAGGCGGGTCATAAGGTGGAAAAGGAATAGTTTAAGAGTTGGAAACTACAAACAGTGATATGGTTTGAAAAGATGGAGGATATTGCTAGGAAGCACTGACACACCTAGTAATGGAGGTGTCCGACACTCCTCCCACACCAACACACTGTTGACATGCCATAGATACATGTCAAACACATTTTTGTGGTGTCTTTTTCTTTTTTTGTTTATCCAACTTTGACACGGCTTAAATGGTTGGACACAGTTATAGGTACAATTACCTTTTTTTACCAATCTTTTTAAAATTAAACATAGAATCGTAATAAATAAATTTCCTATTTTCTTTTTGAAGTATTTTTTTGGGACTCTTTATTAAAGATTCTAGCAAGTGTTAGTTAATTTTTTCATGTAAAGCAACATAGTTATAGACTTATAGTTTGTGGAATATTCTTTTCAATGATAATGATGTCTTTTAATTACCAAAATGTTGATCAATTTAATAATTTTTAATTATATATATATACATATATTCCGTGTCCCTGTGTCGTATATTTTAGACTTTAGCTGTGTGGAGGTATCCATATTAGTGTCAGAGTTGGTGCTTCATTTTGCTAAGGAAATTACTAGTTTCCATAAAGATCTACAAACTGAGGAGAATTTGTCAAGACTATTTCTGAAAAGTGAGAAACAGGGTTGGAATGCACTCATAACAGTAAACACATGACAAGCTGTACATAATACTTTTTGAAACAGACATCAAATAATTTGCTAATAAAACAATAATTGAAGAGGCATACCATAAAACACCAGCCTGCAATAAAGCATCTTGCAATTCAGAGGAAACAGAAACATTGGCAATAGTCTGTAAAGCAGCATCAACAGCTGCAGGTACAAGCTCAAATTCAGTGCAGTGCACAATGTCCTCAACTAGTCCAGAAAACTCGAGTATTTCAGCTCTGGCAGTCTCAAATTGACTTAGAACAGAAAATGTTCGCATGATGTTTGTAACAATGATGGCAGATGGTTCATTTCCAGGAGTAGTTGGCTGCACAACACACATACAACGGGAAAGAAGAGTTGCAAGAAGATGTACTCCTCCATCTCTTACCAGCTCTTCACCATTCAATGAAGAAGATGCACATCTAAACATATGAAATTCAATTAAAGAGCGAAAGTTACCATAGCGTTTTTAAACCAATTAACATAATGGTGAATGTAACAAGAAAGAACAGGGAACACTTACGTCAGCCAGACAAGCTCTGATGCAGCTATAAGGAGAGGTGCTCTATCTGAAGAAAGAAAATTGTTATCATCTTTGTCCACAGTAACAGCACTCAGTAACATGGGATAGCCAGCATATTTGAATGGCTCCAATACATCTCCATGTCTTCTGTATAAAATACATTGTCCCTTCAACAAAAGCAGCAATCTCCAAGGCTGAGGACCTTGCAACCCTTGCATGGTAGCCTGTGTTTTGTTCACAAGGTATAATTTAACAAATTATAAAATGCATAAATGTATTCTTGCTGGAAGCAAAAAAAAAAAAAAAAAAAAAGCTTTGCAGAATAATTCATTCTAATGGAGAATATAAACATGCACCAAGAAATCAAAATGAAAATGAATGAGTATTATGATTTTGATGGCTCATGTTTGTGCTTGTATACCATTATAGGCTTGCATGCACATTTTCTGCAGTTGTGGTTTATTAAAAGATTAAAACATATAAGCTAATAAATAAACACGTAAATATGCAATTCTTTTCCCTATCAGGTTTTTAAGTCAATAACATACCCAAGAAAAAATCACAACTCCATTGCCACCTCTAGTTAGAAAAGAAAATATACAGATTTTAGATTTGTATGCACAAGATACTTGATTTCATACATTAATTGCTTAACACAACACAGATCTCCAAAAATTTTAAGCTGAAAAAAACTATAGAAGAATGAGAATTGTTATGTAGAAACTTATGTCTACCTGGAGGCGTTCATAGGCCTTCTGTATAGCAAGAAACTTATCTCTCCCTTCTGGATTTTTGTCAGGATGATATTTCATAGCAAGTTTTCGATATTGCCGCTTTAATTTTTCTTCATCAATGTTCTCAATCTGCTTTGATAAGCTAGATGCTTCATCTGCAATCTCCAAAGAATTTCTTTTATTTACATCATCACTAGATACATCCTCAAAGGATATTTCAAGGATCTTGCAAGCTTCTTCTTCAGAAAGATCCATAGGCTTTCTAGTCAACTCTTCACGCCACATTACTAGTAATGATTGAAGAAACTCTACATGTTCAACAATTGGCCAATTTGGAAAACGAATATCATCACATAGGTTCCTGAGGTAATAACGATGACACCACATTTCATCTCTCAGCTCTGGGTATGTCACTGGAGGCATGGGAGCATAGTCATATAAAACATGGCAATGCTGTGACAGTTTCTGTGGAAAATCACCAAGATGTTGCAAAACCTGATAAAGTGCAAAGGAGCATGGATTCAATTCCACTACAGTGGATAATAAGAAACCAAGTACTCTTAAAAATTTGAGGAAAAATGAAACTCATCAGAGTGGCTACTACAGACAATGTTTAGTTTACCTGTCGAATAAGATTCTCTGCCCTCATTTTGTGAGTCCATATTATCTCTGGAGTGTCAGAATCAGAAACCATTGCTGCAGCAAAAGCTGCTGGACCACTACGCTCTAGTACATATAACAAAGATTCAGGGAGAAGTCCCCCAAGAACACTACGTTTTGCCAAAGGCAATGAAGTTGAAACTGCAGCCTCTTCACCACCATGAAATGCTTGATGGACATGGGTGACAGAAAAGAGTTGCCCAATTGAAAAAAGATTAGACCCAGGATATGCCAGTGCAAAATAAAATGCACCAGTGCTGTACAGACGGATCATAGCTTTCGGATTTCGGGTAACAATGGCCTTAAGCAATGCAGCAGCTGCCTCAACAATACTTGGTTCCCCGGAAAGAATGGCCTGTCCCCCCCCCCCCAAAAAAAAAAAAAAGTGAAATCAAAATATTATAATATTTGAATTTGTTTAGAAGTTGGAAGAGTAATAAAAAAAACTACAATTAACTATATGATCATATCAAATATCAAACAACTTGAATTAAGAATGACCAGAGGCAGCCAATAATACAAAAATCTAGCCAAAATAATTTTGAGAAAGAAATGCTACTAAGAAGCAAATCATAACAAATATCAATATTTCCCAACATGGCTGATTAACAAATGAACAATTCCTAAAATTACCTGTGCAATATGAGGAAGGCAGCGTGGACTTGACAATATTCGTTTTACTCTAGGAGTTGGAGTAACAATCTCTCCAGCATCATCTAAGTCTGAATGTGCAGACACCATGCTATGTAATATGGACAAAGCTGTGTCCCCAACCTGAATACAATATCCATATTCTATCTATTAGAAGGATACCGGGAAAATAAAATTAAAAAACGACATGTCAAAAAAGAACTGTTTTTGGCAAGTCAACTTTTTAGTCATAAACATTATAATCTTCTTTCACTTTTGGTAGATTGGTAAACAGCATAAACTTACAGTTATGAATGATTCAACATAAATGCACCTTAATATTGGTGTCCCATCTCAACAGGTACCCCAAAAAGATCAAGTTATTCAAATATAAATAAGCACATCTCTAGACTAACAAAAAAGAAGATCGACAAAAGATTAAAGAAAAGTTGGTTAGCACATGGGAAGAAGAAAAGAAAAAAAAAAAAAAAAAAGCTATAGAAAACATCACAAAAACAACTATTTATCAATATTATCTTCCAGCTGCAACATGATTCTACCTGAGGCGGGGTAAGGACTGGAACTCTAAGGGCTAGTGCCCAGCGAAGCTCACGGATATCACGTAACTTCTTCCAATCTAGCATCCCAGAAGCCCAAAACCTTGTTGTCCAATCAATAGCCTTCTTGGACCACAGCCTTCTAATAGCATCTTTTTCCATAGGTCCAACTTGAGTACCATCTTTGTCAATATACGTCCATTCCTTGAGTGGTTCCATAAAAGCAGTAGCAGCAATTAAGTTTGATTGCAAGGGAATAGAAGTCCTCTCTGAAGTTTCATGGACAACAGTTAGCAGATCAACAGCTAATACACAACCTCCAACTAGAACACAAGCCTCTACATTTGATAAAACCTTCATCAATGCCTGAAATTCAGTAAACCATAGTTGATTTAAAACTTCAAACAATAGAGTCGACATACTAGTACTACAATGCTTCCTTGAGCCTTTTAAAAAAAAATTCCATTTAGGATAATCATTAAATCAATATTGACCACCGATCCTATTACAAAATTGCAATTAGCAGCAACAAAGATCTGCATTTAAAATATAGTTTCTTTTGTCCCAAATACCTGCAAAAATATTAGTACTATATAGCACAAATATTAGGATGAACTTCAAATAGAGCTTTGATACAATAGCAAAGCAAATTAATCCTTCCTAGTTCTTCCCACTCAGAGAAGACAAAGTTAGGAAAAAGTAAACACACCTTCAGAAGTAAAAGAAGTCTGTGCCTCAAAGCTCTGTCATCTGTCCTATCCAACAGAACAGTGATGTGAGCTGTACCTTCAAAAGGGCCAATGGTCATGTAATGCTGCTCATATACAATTGCCATTGCCCTTGCACAAAGCTCTCTCACTGATGATCCACCACCTCCACCAAAACCATCTAATCTACCCATGTCACACCAATCATCAGATGCACCTAATTCATCAGGAACAGCACCATCTACAGTAAGACCAGTGTCTGCATCACATAAAAATCGATGGTAAAGCGCCCTGAAGAAAGCAACAGGATCACGCAATGGAAAGTCTTGTGCCCTGCCACCACTGCCACTCTCAAGCAATAAGCGCAGATAATATTGACCCACACAAACTTCTTTTGACAAGCTTGGGTAACGAACAGAAAATTCTGGGTAGTTCCAAGATATTTGTGGCACACTCTCTACCCCTGATACCATTTCCAAGGTAGCACCCCCTGGAACAATATCTTCAGTACGCTCCTTCTCAACATCTAGTTTATGAACTTCAGCTTGCAAAGATTCCCTCAACTCTTGCCTGGTACGCTCATTCCAAATTAAGTCTGCACGATTGTGATCAAGATCAAAAGCTCGCCAAAATTCAGGCCAATTACATAGAAGCCGACCAGATCCTACAGGGGTGTTCTCCACAACACAGGAGCAGGAATGCCTGAATTCTGCAAATCAACAGCATTTTTGTCAGGATCAACTGAATTTGAAAAATCAGATCCTGGTGCTTCATTTGAGTTTGTTGGTGCCGCATTAGCTGAAGCCACAAAAGTTGAATGCCCATTTTGCACTTCTCCTGTAGAAGACCCATTATTCAAATGTTCACTAGTTTGAACTACTGAAGCTTGAATATTTGAAGCCTGTCCAGAAATTGGGTCCATAACAGTTTTATGATAGTTGTCTGAACCTCTAACAATAGCACCAACTGTATGACTAGCGGAATCAGAAACATCAAAGTTATTTGCTGAAGGGAAAGGTTGTTCTTGAGAGATAAGTCCTCTCCCAATACGCCCTTTCCTTTGCTGAAGTAATCGTCTTTTTTTTTTTCCAATTGACAATTCTTCTTGATTTGTATCTTCAGCCAGAACTCCTTCAGCACGTGTGTGCAAGTAAGCAACAAGACCAGGAGGCAGAATTCGGGACAATAGCTCCAAAGCTGGCTGATAGGAATCTGCCCAAAGAGCAACAAGTTGTCGACTAACTTCTCGTCGCTCACCAGCTGGAAGGAAAAATGCATGCAATAAATGCCTCAACAAAGCACCATCACGCAGAGAAGCATCCCGCATGGACTCTGCAGCAATGGCATCCTCTTCTGCGATTGATCGCATTATCATTGCTACTGTTTCTCTAACACTTTCAGCAGGATGACCAAACAGTGCAAACAAGCGACGCTTCAACCCTGCAACTTGGCGCAATAATTCAACAAAAACAGTATATTGGGTAGTCTCACCATGTGGATCACAAATCATAGCCTCAAGCACTTCAACAACAGTCATTGACAGTAAAGGTGATACTGACGTTGGCTTTAATCTGTTGACAAGAATGATGATATAATTATGATTAGCAAACAACACTGACTTTGTATGCATAATTGTGGCATGCCACTCTCCTTTAGAATCTGTTACATTTGCATCACCAGGCCCACCACCAATGAGTACAGCAACAAGCCCTGCAGCCTCAGAAGCCACACCTTCTGAACCATTTCTGAGTAAACCCATTATCCTTCCAACTGCTGCAGGAAAAGACATCACATGTGATGCTGCACTTCTTGAGGCGAGTAGTCTGCGTAAACATGCAATAAAACCCATCACAGTTGCAGCAGCTTTTGGTGAAGGGGGTGGCAATGGAGGAGATTCCGGAGGAAGATTTGGGGCGGCGGGAAGCATGGTAATCAAGGCCATCAAAGTAACCTCTGGAACTTCAATGTTTGGAGGCACACCGCTATATGGTATACAGGCATTGAACTCCCTTATTCTACGCCACAATTTAGCCCTGGATCCAGGAATAGAACCACTTTCAGCAACAGCATCTTTGGCAGCAGCTGCTAAATGCTTCAAATGCATGGATGCACTGTCTGTATCAGTAACAGGCTTTTGTTGACCATATTGCAAAAAAACTCTCCCACAGGCAGGATCAATACGATGACCAGGCATTGTCAGTCTTGGCAATACAGGTATGGCACATTGACCCTGTAAATAAACATCATCAGAAGTCAAACATGCACTTGGACAATCATTTTTGCAATGAAGCATGCTTTATTTTTATAATATCATCACAATATTGCCTCTGGTTCAGAAACAAGTTCAATTGATATTATGAGATTTAACAAGTATTATATGACATAAATCATCATGCTTCAATGTATGTATACAATTATAAAACAATTCTCAACCAAGATGAGATATATCCACCTACTTCAGTTTGCAAAACATCACGAACTGCTGCAAGTAAGCTATCACGAGATGTGCTTGCATAAACCTACAATTCATGCCATATGTGTGAGAAAGTTTACAGCATAATAAAGCACAACTAGAATAGCACAAACATAGCTTACATGGATGGGGCATCCATCACTAAATTCAATTGCAAACATCTGGGGCTCTTCAGCAAACCGAACAAGAGCACTTACTGAAGATAATGGACGAACAGTAACAGCCTGCACACATCTAGTAAAAATTCTCAACATTTGACATAACCCTCCTGATTCTAAGTAAAACTGTGCATAACATTCAAGATTAATATATCCACTTTAAAATCTGTTTTACCTAAGACAATGATGATGCTTGTTTGCTGCTAGCATAACAAGTTGAGGCCACATTTTCTTAAGCTTTTTCTAGTACAAAGAGCTTTTCTAACTAAAAGGACGTTTCAAAACAAAAGTATAACCACTGGATAATTTTTCCAGGAAATAAAAAAACCTCACGCGTTTTTTCTCAGAAGAAAAAGTTATACATTAAAAACACTCTATTTCAAAGCTTATGCACATGTACGTACTTAAGCGCATGTTTATAGAAAAAACCATAAATTGGTAAAAATACTCTAAAGACCTATTTCACACAACAATATCTTATGCTTTTATCCTGTCATTCAAGACTTATTCAAAACAATATTTCAGGAAACAATTGTTTATCAATGCTCAATTTCTCAAGCAAGAACATCGGCATGTATCAATGCCTGTAATATAATAATAGATTGGCATCTACAATGGCTACATTCTACACACAAATTGACTTGATAAATGCGTCACTTACTTCATAATTCTCAGGTCGCCTTTCTACAAGTGAAACCTTTGTAAGAATGAGCTGACGAGATACAGCATCACCATGCTCACCTAGTCCTCCTTTAGGGCCAACACCTAAGCTCAATCCTGGAACATTTAGAGTTCCATGGGCAGCAGAACGCAACCTTGTTACGGACCAACCCCCCAATGGGGTATCTTCTGCTCCAACTGCCTCTTTTGCTGCATTCCATTTGTTTGTTCAAGGTTAAAAAAATTGTTGCATGTAAATAACAAATTTGAAAGTGGAAGGAACAATAAACAAGGTTATGACTAGTTACCCCTTTGTTTTATATATTCAGAAATGGAGAGAGTTTGAGAACTCTCCACAGACAAGGACAGCCCAACAGTGGATTTTGCAGTTTTTGTCTGCAAGAAAACTTATGCACTGTTATTACTGTTGATAGCTGCTCTAGGTAAGTATAAGTAACGCATTCTCACAAATGATGCTCTAATTCAGTGCCTAAAGGTAACCTAATTTAAGGTGCCAATATCTCGCAGAATAATTATTTAAAGCTTAAACGATGTCATCCGTACCAAATTTGAGATAATAGCTGATGTTGTGCATCCAGAAGCAGCTTGAAAAGCTTTAGATTTTCTTCCATATAAGGGGCAAAGAACAAATCCACTACCATGATCAACATTTTTCTTTCCAAAAGCATCAGAGAGAAGAATAATTGCCGGGGAATCCATGTCTCTAAAATCCAAACACCAGCGAAGGTCACCCGACTTTGTATCAATAAGCTCAACACCAACATAAGTCACTTTCAATTTCTGTGAAAGCCACCAGCCAAACAGGATAATTAGTTCAGCTAATCACCAATCAACCTTTTTATATGAGTAAGCTTATCACACAATATATCAAAGACAACTGCCGGTTGTATTAAAAAGAATATATATATATATATA